GACTTCCCAGAAGCGGCGCACGCAAGGCACAGCTCTGCACGCAAGGGGGAGGCGACTGCAGAAACCTTTCAACCCGATCTTTCGAAGGCTTGCACAGCTGCCTCCTCCTCCCACTCACCGCCCCCTCCTCGGCGCTCCAGGACTGCCCCAAGCTTGGATCACAGCCTGGGTGTGACCAGAGCGTCCAGCAGGTGGCGTGTCCCTATCTCTTCAACGCGGAAAGCCTCCAGGCCTGCTGAGCTTTGTGTGCCTAAGGATGGTCCATAGGGCAGCAGCATTCAGGGTTTCTTGGTCTCGCCACCAGAGGTGGAAAGAGATGTGAGCACACAAAGGGCCAAAGCTGTAGGGCCAAATGGTTTGCAAAACCTTAAGACAAAAATAAATGCTACACAAACCGTCGCAACCCAAGCTACCCGGTTCCTAAAATGACAAGTTTCCTTTTCTGGCTCGGTGCCTAAGGGTCATGCTCAAGACACCAAGCTCGAGTCACCTGCAGGAGGAGTGCGTGCTCTTGGGTGCTCTCTGCTAAAGCGCTCAGAAGCGTGGGAAATTCTGTCCCAAACTCCGTTCTGGGGAAAGCGTGGGGTCTTGACTGGGGGATGATTGATGACAAGCCGTTATCGGCAAAGGAAAACTTTACCAGGCGGCTCCCAACAAAATTGCCAGCTACTGTTCCAGGAAGGTCCGAGCGCTCGGAGCGGACTTCTCATTGGACCACCATGGGTCACCCTGAGCGTAGACGCGAGTCCAAGTCCCAGATTTTCGCGGCGCGCCCCGCCCCTCACGCCCCACCCCCTCAAGGTCCCGTTTCCTTCAGTCTCTTCCCAGTCCTTAAAACCCCGGGTAGAGGGATGGCGCGCGTCACCTCTGGGGTGCGTTGCAGACACCTCTGTAACACCGGCTTGAAAGCCTCCCGCGGCCTGAGATTTGACTCCACTTTATCAACTCCCAACCCCCACCCATCTCAACCGCCAACTCCAACTCCGTGAGAAAGCCCCGACTTAGCGGAGCCCCAAGTGCAGTGGAGCTCAGCCAACTGAGACGCCCCTCTCTTCCCCCTGTCCTTCATCCTGATCTAAGCTTAGATTCTGACTGAGCCAAGAGTGGGTGCTAAAGCAGCGGGCAGCAGGTGTCTAGGGCGGGCTTGCAGGTCCCTGGGGACTCTTAGGTTGAAGTCTTGTTCTGGGCAGAGGCTCCAGGGCTTCTCCCAGAGCTGGTTGCTCTGCACCGCTGGAAAAACAGGCTTCATCGCAGGTCAGTCTCTCTGCGGAGCCACCTTCTCGTGGCCTCTTCAGACCAGTTCTTAGATCAGGGGTGGGGTGTTAGGAACTTTGAAAGAAACCGGCCTCTGTGTCTGCCACCTGTATTGTGTCGGAATTCTGGGAACCGTTAGGCAGCTGGGGATTCTGAAACTGGCATACTTCTGCTGGAGGCTGGGTTGGGTATGGAAGGGACACCTTAAGCATCTTGTCCAGAAGGCCATTCTTGACCTGAGCTATGCACCGCCTTTCCTCTATTAAACAGGGCTCTGTAGTCCCATGCTGGGGTTGGGTCGCGGGGGATCCCACTCTCTTTATTTCTCCTCTGCACACCTGAGTGTTGCGTTTTGTCTTTGTGTTCCCAGCATGGCCACCAGCCTTAGCGCAGACAGCGCGCAGCAGCTGAAACCGCTCTCTACCCAGCAGACAACACTTCTGCTACTGGTCTCTGTCCTGGCCGCCGTGCACTTGGGACAGTGGCTACTGAGACTGTGGCAGCGGAAACCGTGGTCCTCGCCCCCGGGTCCTTTCCCATGGCCACTGATAGGAAACGCGGCTTCTGTGGGTCGAGCCTCGCACCTGTACTTCGCTCGCCTTGCGAGGCGTTATGGCGACGTTTTCCAGATCCGTCTGGGCAGCTGTCCCGTGGTGGTGCTGAATGGCCAGAGTGCCATCCACGAAGCCCTGGTGCAGCAGGGAAACATCTTCGCGGACCGGCCGCCCTTCGCCTCTTTCAGGGTGGTGTCTGGTGGCCGCAGC